GATGGCTAGAGATGAGCAGGGAAAGGGGGGCATGGGCCAAATGGCAGGAAACCATGTATCTTGTAAACAATGGGGGTCCTTGGGCACACAAAGAACAGTAAGACTCTCCAGACTGACAGAAAACTACATTTTTGAGTGATAAGGATTCTAGAGATAGACACAGTTGGGAAAAGGTAGGAATCTCTGGTGTCTGAATGTAACCTTTGGCTCATTGTGCCTGCATTATGATAAAATTAGCCTTGTAGCCTTGCAGAAAAGAAGTATCCACCTTGCACCAATGCCGTCACACTTCACATGAAGACTAAATAAGGACAAAATTCTTTCCCCACCCAGGAAGGGGGAGCCTGGATGAAAATTAGAAAATATGGCCCCAAACCGCTTCCTCCCCAGTGAATATTCTGCCCGTTGATTTTTACACCCCATATAACCAGTTTGCCAAAAAAACTCAGGGCAGCTACTCACCTGAGTCTGCCCAGTCTCCCTTGGAGAGTGTACTATTGCTTAATAAATCCTCACTTTGCTTTCTTGGCCTCCATGTCTCATCTCTAAATTCCTTCTGTGACAAGACAAGAGCCTTCTCTCCAGTAACGTAACCTCACAGTATATTTTTTCTAATAATCACAGATAGATACGGCTTTTTGACTCTGTGCTTTTGCACCTGTGCACTTCCTTCCCTGGCCCTGTAATATCCTTTATATCCGTCCTAGAGAAAACACATACTTTACTGCCAATTCAGTTTTCTCTTTAACTGTATGTAACTGTTTGGCAGGTATTAAGACTGAATATGAATGTTGTGTATTTACCTGTTAAGAGTGGCTTCAATCCCAATAAGAAGCATATTCTAAACACCCTGCCCCCCTTAAGCACTTAAGATGTTCTCGAGTAAAATCAGCAATGATTGCTTTTTCTTCCCTGGTTTGTCAGTGTGACTATCTGTACTCTTTTATTTGAGATTTCATTTTTCTCTCAGTTGATATGAAAGATCTGTTCAGGTTTGATTTTTTTCTTCTTTATTGATTATCTTCTTGGAGGAGGACAGCAGTAATATCCTTGTTATCAAGATACTGACTAAAGCTTGAATCCTTAAGTTTTAACAGGTAAATGTTGCATCTCACAAAAAGGGTAATTTTCTGCTATTGTGAAGCTTATAGTTTATAAATTTTGATCAAAATATATCCTTTTGGTCTAGATAGAAATCCTTCTCAATCTGGTTTCTCATGGTTCTGAAGACATCATGATGTCAATAATTCCTTAACATTACCCTCCAACTGGTCACAGTTTCTGAAAAGTGGGCCCTGATACTGGGAAAAATTTGACATAGTTTGAGAGATTTATAAATACACCAGACCTAGACAGCTGCCATTCTTTCTATCTACCCTTATTCCTGTGGCGATGCTTCATCCCTCTTAAATTTCAGCAAGATGCAGAGTAATTGATCAAGACAGTGGGGGGCAGGGGGGAAGGGTATAGCTCAAGTGGTAGAGTGCATGCCTAGCATGCATGAGGTCCCAGGTTCAATCCCCAGGACCTCCTCTAAGAATAAATAAATAAATAAACCTAATTACCTGCCCCCTCAAAAAAAAAATAAATAAAGACAGCAGGGGGAAGGGGGGAGAGCATAGCTCAAGTGGTAGCGTGCATGCTTAGCATGCACAAGGTCCTGGGTTCAATCCCCAGAACCTCCTCAATAAGTAAACTTCATTATCTCCCCCCAAAAATAAAAAATAAAATATATAAAAAAAAAAAGACAGCAGGGGGATGATCATAACCATGTCCTCGTCCTGGTGTTTCCCTCCTTTGATTCAATGGCAATCAGTTGGACAAATTGAGGCATGTATCCACAAACTCTTCATATAATTACATTGACTTCATCTAGTTGGTAATATTAAGAGGTCTTTAGTGCTTCAGATCTCCTGGACTCATAGACTCAATAAAGTAATTTCAACTTATAATGCAGGACCTTATTAACACGATCTCATCTCATCACATATTCATTGTATAGTCACCTCCCCCAGCTCACCAAAGAAGAAATAACTAGATCAGTGCTTCTCAAACTTTGATGCATATGGGTCTTATGGAGATTAGTTAAAATACATATTCTGACTCCATAATTCCTGTGTTACAGCCAAAGATTCTGAATTTCTAACTTGAGGGTCATGTCAGTACTGCTGGTTTGCAGACATTTTGAGTAGCAAGTTCTATAACGTGTGTTTTTTCTTCCTAGTTTCAGTAAGGATTTGAAGTTTGTAGAAGTATACCTGTGGAGTGTTTGAATGCTTTCAAAGGAAAGAATCCCCAGTCTTGCTTGGTAGAAGTAACCTAGAGCTTCATGTAGCTGATGAAAGCAGCAGAGCACTCTAATATGTTAAAAATATGAATTCTCCTCAGCCACTCATTGAAGGTGAACTCTTGCTGGTTTGGTAAAACTATTTCTAGAAAGTTCAAGGCCTCAGTGAGACTCCCCATGTCATGAAGAAGCAATTTGAGTTCTATTTGACTGAATCACCCTTCTCCCCTGAGCCTTGGTGATGGCTCTTTAGAGTATAGGAAGGACAGTTGAAGTTTCCGTTAATGATGGAGTCTCAGCTCATGGTTACTGAACGTAAAAGTAAGTGAAGTTAATTATGCAGTTGTATCCCAAGTGAGCGTGGTGGAGGAGGGTCCTGCTCCAGATCGGGTGGTCTGTTCTACGGTAGGTGAATTACTTGAAGTTATGTAAAGATAGGAAATGCATTCATTGCCTGTGCTGTAACTTTGAATTTCATAAAAAGGTCAAGTGTGCAAATGAACTTGTTGAGTCTTGGCACAAGTTAGCTATTTATTTTTCTCCAACTTTACTGAGGAATAATTGACAAAGATAATTGTATATACTTTAAAAGCATATGACATGGTTTGATATACATGTACATTGTGGAATGATTATCACAACAAGATAATTAAAACCTCTATCACTCACACAGTTAAGTTTTTTGTGTATGTGTGTGAGGTGAGGAAGCTTAAGATCTATTCCCAGCAACTCTCAAGTATGCAATACTGTATTATTAACCATAGTCATTGTGCTGTACATTAGCTTCTCAGAACATATTCTTGTAATTGAAAGTTTGTACCCTTTTCCCTACATTTCCCCATTTTTCCCTCCTCTCCTCCCAGCTCCTGGCAACCACCATTCTATTCTTTTATTCTCTGTTCTAGAAATTCACTTTTCTTTTTTTAGATTCCACATATAAGTGATACCATGCAGTATTTGTCTTTCTCTGTTCAGCATAATTCATTTAGCTTCCAGGTTCATTACATGTTGTTGCAAATGAAAGGTTTTCACTCTTTTTTGTGGCTAAATAATATTTCGTTTTCTTTATTTGTTCATCTGTCAATGGACATTAAAGTTGTTTCCATATTTTGGCTACTATGAGCATGGGAGCACAGGATGTCTCTTCAAGATTCTGATATCTTTTGGATATGTACCTAGTAGTGGGATTGCTGTAACATATGATAGTTCTATTTTTAATTTTTTTGAATCTCTCTACTGTTTTCCATAATGGCCATGTCAGTTTACATTCCCACTAATGTTGTGTAAGTATTCCCTTTTCTCCACACTGACATTTGTCATTAGCAATTTAATGTTGCATGAGAAAAAAACACAGTATCTTAGAAACAGAACATAATAGGCACTTGTTTCTTAATTGTACTTTCTGTGGATCAGCTGAGTTTCAGTTGATCTAGGCTAGGCTCATTGTAGCTTGGCTCCTGGTTCTGAGTTAAGTCCTGTTCTTCTCCACGTATCTCCATCATCATTCAAGGGGAAAATACTGAAGGCATGTTCTTCTCACGGAGGAAAGGCAAGAATAAAAGAAAGGGGCAGAAGAAATATGCGATGTCTCTTAAGACCCCGGCTAAGAACTTCAAAATGTCACCCAAATCAGTCATATGGCCAAGTCGAACATGTTTGAGATGGGGAATCACATTCCTCCTATGATGGTTGAAGGGAAGAGTGAATTATATGCTCATTAATAATCTAATCTTTCACAGTCTCTAAATTAACTATTTTCAGTATTGCTCTATCAGTCT